CATTGCAGTTTGGTTGTGTATTTTTTCCAGTTCGTATTTCTGGAGTACGAGGTAGTTCGTTCCTGCACTCCTTTTACGTCAAACAATATGATTCTGTGATCAGAGAGAGAGGGATCATTGGAGACTCCAATTTCTGATCATTTGGTCAATATTTGGACTACAAAGTATTATGTCTAACACATTGGAGAGTTGGTCAGCGTCACCTTAGCTTAGCCTCCCAAGCCGGAAGTCGCTCTACATAACATAACGCAATTTAATTAAGAACAATATTTTCAAAGAACCCTGCCCAAAGTATACGGATATTGTATTTATGTCAGAATTGGCTGAATTTTATATATAGGTAATGTAGATCACGCCTTCCTGATATAAAGTTACCATTGCATCAATCCTGAAAAATTACTATACGTAGCACACCACTGCGCAACAAGCTTACCTATATGTGTTACATTGTATGTACTTGTACAATAACTTATTATATAAAGTCAGAATTTGTAAGATTATCCACTTTTTGTCAATTTGCCTTTCAACAGGAATTAGTAATGTTACTTTACCAAAATAATAACATAATGTGACAAGTTATTCAAGTACAAACGAGTGGATTGTTGCGGAATTTATGAGTGGACCTCTGCGGGACGAGCGCAGCGAGTTCCGCAGTCATCTATTCATTAATACGTTGTTCAAATACGATACTCACCTGACTTACTCAAATGTCAGTTATTCTCATTAGTTCAAAAACTACAAGTTTCAGTGAGTGTCTTATTTGAATAGTTCACCAGTATACTGGTGAGTAGATTGCTGCGGAACTCGCTGCGCTCGTCCCACAGAGGTCCACCCAGAAGTTCCGCAATAATCCACCTATTTGTAGAGGAAAGGCACCTAATATTAGGATACTGCCTAATATTGGATACCTACCTATTTTAATAACGTAACTGTATATGTCCTTCTTTCTAGTAACCAGAAGCTGCGTTACACCTTACTCACTAATAAGTTTGCAGAGTTCTCTAATAGACTATGTTGTCATAAACGACATTTAAATGAAATGTGTGTGTATGCAAATTATTTGCTCCCTATTTTAGGAGCTGAAATATCAGTTGAAAGATAAACATTTTAAATATTTCTAAATGGGATGGCTAGTGCATGTTTAGAGCAAATTTTTCTACAGTTTTCATTAATAAAATCTTATTTTTTTTTGTCCAAAATTTTTATAACCTAAAAAATTTATGATGTGCCTAATATTGGATAGCTAATTGATAGTTACAGGTTCCCAATATTGGATATCCGATATTAGGCAATGCTTTGAGATCAACTTCAATAATATATTGTTTACAGAAATGGCTACTTAGAGAAGACAGCAATGGGATAAAGCAAATATGACTACTGCTGTAAAGTTTTGAAATTGTCAATAGCCTTTGAATAAAGAAATGGTATAATATGTATGTTATGCTATAACTCCATTAAACTGGCACAAATGTAGGGATGTTTTTTTGATATAATTTTACAGTTTAAAAAAAAGTATCCAATTTGTTGGGAAACTTATGGGTGGACCAGCCATATATATATTCATCAATATATTGTTTAATTACGATACTAAACTGACTCACTCAAATGTGCGTTATTCTCATTAGTTTAAAAATTACACGTTTCAGGTGAAAGTCTTACTTGAACAGTTCAACGGTATATTGGTGAGTAGATGGCTGCGGAACTCACTGGACTCGTCCTGCAGAGGTCCACCCATAAGTTCTGCGATAATCCACTTATTTGTATGTACCTTCATTACAATGTCCAAGAGTAGGTATAATATGGGGTTTCTGCAACCTCCGTCCTCCGGAAGAGCTTCCAGCACGCCTGCACGCGCCATCTATCGGTACCTGCTGCACGTGTCCGGTGCACCATCTATAGGTTCAGTTGCCTATAATAGCCCCGGGGGCTTTTGTAATTATCGGTACCTGCCGTATGATGCGCCATCTAGGTTCGGATACCTCTAATACCCCTAGGAATCGGAGGCTTTTGTAATTATCATTACCTGCTGTAGGTGTCCGAATCGGGGCCTTTTGTAATTATCCGTACCTGCTGTAGGTGTCCGAGGCATTTTGGAGATGGTTTCTCGCTGCGGTCAAATTCCGGGAAAACCCTCAAAAATTTAAGGTTGGCCCGGGTCAAACCCCCGAAATTTCATATCAATGGCGTTGCCGATCTAGAGATTTTCCCACGGTATCGAAAAAGTTCCCAGGCTCAGATGCCCCCATTAGCTAGACCCTGTTTTTAGACATGCCTTATTTGATGCAATTGGCGATGAAATTCAATGAAACAATAATTTATTTTTATTTTATTTATTTTTAATGTAAACAAAGAAAATAAAACACAGTAATTCTAGGGTGACTCGAACATTTTTTCATGACAAATTAGATTATTTTCGTTTCTTCTAATGTAGGTATGCTTTTTAATTTAGTAGTAACGGGGGCACCTGAGCCTGGGAACATTTCGATACCGTGGGAAAATCTCTAGATCGGCAACGCCTTTGATCTGAAATTTCGGGGGTTTGACCCGGGCCAACCTCCCGGAATTTGACCGCAGCGAGAAACCATCTCCAAAACGCCTCGGACACCTACAGCAGGTACGGATAATTACAAAAGGCCCCGATTCGGACACCTACAGCAGGTACCGATAATTACAAAATCCCCCGATTCCTAGGGGTATTAGAGGTATCCGAACCTAGATGGCGCATCATACGACAGGTACCGATAATTACAAAAGCCCCCGGGGCTATTATAGGCAACTGAACCTATAAATGGCGCACCGGACACATGCAGCAGGTACCGATAGATGGCACGTGCAGGCGTGCTGGAAGCTCTTCCGGAGGACGGAGGTTGCGGAAACCCCATATTATACCTACTTCCAAGCGTTTTACGTGCTATCTATGAATACTATGGAAATCATTTTCTCAAAAAGGAATCATTTTTCAGAATACTTGCAATGATGTGATCTACATTACATACAAAATTCAGCCAATTCTGACATAAACACAATCTCCGTATAGTTTGGGCAGGGTCCTTTCTTATTGATTGTCTAAAATACCTTTTTCGTTTGCTCATTCAACTTACTAAGAATTTTCCACAATTTTGTTTGTGATATACCTGTATTAATTAAATAAAATTTAATGATACCTACTATTAGCTTGAACAAAATTAATATTCTCAATTTACAAAATGTTTTAAAACAAAGTTAGCTGATTTTGTAAAACTAAAACATTTAAGTATTCTAAAAATGAAACTTTTATATTAAAATAGTTCGTAGCGGATTAGAAAAGCGGTTTATACAGGTTGGAAAGTATATGCAAATGTATTTAAATGTTCTAGGAGCGTCGCCTTTAAGACAGTAGCTACGTCAGGTTAATGTTGAGTTTTTAGCTTTACTTCTGAATAAAGAAGAAGTAAATTAATTTCGTCTTTGTGCTGCGTTATCATTCTATGAGAGTTGTTAAGTTTGTTTTTAGTTTCAGCGATGCAAGAGCTACCCCATTCTATATGCAAATATATAGAGTACCTTTACCTTTAATATTCCAAACTTTTGCATTTTCCTTTCTTAGGCAAACATCAAATTTGCGCCCGAATAGAAAATCGGATCAAATACGAGGGATTTTTCCTCGAAAATACATGAATATCCATTCCAAAAAATGTTGTCAACATCAATTTGCATTCGGAACTATTGCCGTATATATAGGAGAAAAGAGGTCTGGCCAATTTGAGATAAAGGCATGTAAACTTGCACGTAACAAGCTTTACATCAATCGGAATCCTGTCTTTTATGGAATAAATCCTATCTCGGATTTTTGCCACAGCAGACGAAAGCTTATGAAAGATTAATAGCGGATCGATTTTCGCTCCGGACCGTGTTCAACTTTTCGATAAATTGCTAAGTAGATTTGTCTTTCAATTTCGTCTAAATTGATTAAATATATAACAAATTGGGTCTGGATGTTTGCTATATTCTACGATAGTCAGTGAAAATCGGGTCTTGCACAAGATGTAATTTTACCATACTTGATTGAATGAATAAGACACGTTTCACCAAAAATAAACATGTCATGATAAATTTATCTAATTCAATGACCATCACACCTTATTGTGTTATGAATCATCATAGATACAAGGTTTTTAAATTATTTTTCGGAATTGGGGTATTTGTGTACAATCTGGCAACATCCCACAATTTTTCATACTAAATTTTCCAGTGAAGTGGAAAATGTTCAAAATCAATTGAGAAATTCAACCTGCACTTCCAAGAGCATTGAAACCAACTCAATAAAATGGCCCAAGATTAAATCCAAGCTCCAATATGATTCCACACAAGTTTTCCCTACAAGTACAGAAAATAGGTTCACAAATAACCTATAAAATGATTCCATGTTCCATTAAACATCAACCAACTCCAAAATTCTAAAACATATTAGGTACATCGCGTATTCAATTCTAAATGCTACCTTGTCCCGATTGTATATTAGCATAGGTGAGGATGTTAAATCCGTTGTAACCATCGTCTAGAGCGGAATGTAGAATTGTCGGATTTGCATTGATTTCCTAAAAGGAAAGGAGAGCTTGCCGGAAGGATTTGCGTAAATAACCAGCAGGCAAGTAACCGGAATGCGCTTATGGATTTAAACGCGAGACACAAGAAGAATCGCAAATAATTCGATTTCGGAATCGGGAATAATGCAAAGCTCGAAATGCATTAGTGCTGACTAACCTCATTGGTAATTATTTTCCTTATCTTTGTGGCCCAGAATTTAGTTTTATCTTTAGCCCACTTTGTGCAAAAATTGACCCAATAAATCCACTGGGAATAAAGTGCCACCCCAACGTTTAGTTGCCAATTTATAAGAGAGACAAGAATAAGCCGGAAAAAGTCTTTTTTGGGAGAAGTCAGATGGAAAAAAAAGTAATTATTGTTCATCGAGGGGCCCTCATATATTATTAGAAATCAAGTGTACAAAAAATCTTTATTTATCTCAGTTTTCTATTAGATGATCCAGATTTCGTTACAGCACTAGTTGGTTTTAAAACCTTTTCTTCAGCCACTTTCAATAAATGCGAAGCTTTTTTAAGATTTTCAGCTGCCGACAATTTCAAAGAATCTTGTTTCATAACGGGGCATTTTAAAATAGATCTTGCTTTTTCCAAGTTGGCAACACTTCTAAGATTTTCTTCTTGAATCGAGCTTAGCGGTTTTTTCAGGCAACTTTTTATTTCCACAGGAACTCTTGGCTGAGCTGAAGGTTTTGGATGATTAATAACCACTTTGTTATTATCGGTTGGTAACGATCGAGATTTTCTGATAGGTGCAGGTGCATCGTTGAAGTATTTTGAATTAGATGCTTTTATTTTCGCCAAATTTAAACAATTTACAATATTTTTTGTGACGAAATCAACTGGTCCTTTAACTACAAACTTTTTAATTTTTGCATTCCTTGAAGTTGTAGAAGGTTCTCTTGTTTTTTGAATCGGTGTATTTTTCCTAAACCGAATTTCTTCTTGCTTGCTTATGCTTAATCTTCGCACCTCTGTTTCTAACTTGAAACCTACAGAGTTTCGTTGGAACTTTGTAGATTTTTCTTCAGGTTTCTGGAGCAAATTTTTCTGAGGCTTTTTACTAGTTTCAGGGATTTTATTAGGCGTGTTATGCTTAGACTCAGAAATTATTTCTAACAAGTTGTCACTTTGAATAGCAACTGATTCGGAAGGACTCTTGATTGGCCGTTTCTTGAATGTTCCAGGCGAAACTTTATCGATTGGTTTTTTACTGGATTGCTTTTGAATTTTGGATATTTTATCATGTATTTCACTGTAAGACTTATTTGTTGACTTTTCAATGGGTTGAACATTCTTTTTGAGTACTTTGCAAACTGATGTCTCAGGCTTTGGCATCTCAGATAAAATAATAATGTTTGGTTTTTCGCAATGGTGGTTTTGAATAGTATCAGACACAGATTTTTCATTGAGTATGTGCATTTCTTTTTTTTCAACAGTCTTTTTTACATCCACTTTTTCATTTTCACCATCAGAAGAAGCTTGTGTTCTGTAAGATTGAATTTGCAAAATATTTTCCTCAATAAGTTCCCTTATTATATTTGCATTAACACCAGTTTCTATCTTTGTATCATCAATCTTCAATAAAACTTCCTGATCTTTTTCAATAATCTTGGTGCATTCGGTATTGATTTCCGTATTGAAAACCTCAAAATTTTCTTGTAAGTTAAAAGAATTAATTGTCTGCTCTGAGTCACTGTACTGTTCGAAAGCGAAACTCGGAATGGTGTCTTCTGAATCATTCACATTCACATCACCGAATTCATAATTATCCACTAACCTATAGGATCTAGGTTGCATGTCGTCTAGTTGCTCTGGAGTGAAATGGAACAAGGGATACTCGACGAGTGCCATCGAGTTGATCGGTATACTTTGAAAAACTTGCTCTAAGTTCTCCAGAAACCACGGAAAATCTTCCAAATTGAACACTTGCACTTCTTGGTATTCCTTAATTTTCTTTTCAGTTCCTGTAAAAGAGCTTTGTTTATCTCGCAATGTAGTCGCTAAATTCGTCGATGCTTGTACGAAGTCTACGATGCAGCTGATCATATCAGACAATCTGGCGTGGTCTTCAAATGAAGCACATTTATCGAATGGCGGTGGTGGATTGTAAGGCATTTTCACTGAGAATTTTAAGGGGTTTTTAATGAATGACAGGATTTTTTTTTTAGTTTTTATTTGATGATATTGACAGTTAGGTTGACAACATCAACATCATAATAGCACCTGATAAGGAAGCAGCGTAAACAGCTGACTCCAGTGGCGGAGCAAGTCGTTGCGTCTTACAGTCGGCCACAGCTAGCATTCTTGACGTCCTCGTCAACCTATCAGAAGAAATACACAATATCAGTTATAACGAACAACGATGGTAAAACGCTTAAAATATGTGCGGATTATATAAATTTTCAAGAAAAATCTATAAATTATTCGATATTAACATACAAGGACTAGCACGCATTACGTGGACGGGTTAGTTTGCATATTTTTGGTTAGTTTCGTTACAGTTCGTTTTACTGGTTACAGGTGTACTGGTCTTTGTTTTTCCAAATTCAATAATAACATACAAGGACTGGTGCGCATTACATGGACGGGTTAGTTTGGGCTAGTTTGCATATTTTTGGTTAGTTTCGTTACAGTTCATTTAATACTGCTTATAAGTGTACTGGTGTACTGGTTACGCTGATAGCGACCAATAGTGGGGAATTTTCGTAGTTGATTTTTGAGAGGTGGGCCAAATCGTCAATTTTGCATATAATTTTCCGATGGAATATGTGCATTTTCTGAATTTGTTTATAGCTTACATGTTTCTATTTGAAGGAATCTTTCTCAAAAAACAGAAAAAAAATGCCGTTTTTATTGAGACCTATAAGTTACCAAATCCATAATATTTTTTACGTTTCTGGTAGAGCAACGTTTTCAAGGATTTCCTCTTTGAGATTTAGCGAGCGGAGCGAGCCATTCTAGACTTAAAAATAATTTAAATTTAAAAAAAAAATGCTTGTCTATTGCCGCCATATTGTTTTCTTCTGCCATGTTGGATTGTCAATGTCATCATTGCGCAGCCTTTTACTACGCGGCGGTTCAATAACAAGTCTCTATTCTTATTATTCCGCCGCGGTGTAATGGTAGAATAGGTATAGGGTTTTTTTCAATAAAATTGTGAATATTCGCTTACTAAGGCAAAAAAACGTCAATATCCGCACTTAAATTGATACAAAACCAACTGTATAAAGGATATATCAACTAATTTTTATAGAAAATTTGTTAATTTTGGTTGCACTAAAGCGTTTTACACCCCGAACAACTTGTGTCCTACGATTATCAAGCAATTGCCTCAAATCAACTGAACGGCTTTCTACATTGCTGGAAGCATAATGCAGTAATACGTTCAAATCACACTTGTGACTTATCAGAAACGTTCTCTCCTGGAAGAACGTGTTTTTCATGATTTATAAATGTTATGGTGAGATGCATCTCTTTTGGAGAACTTTTCTCACCATCCGTGCGCGCGTATTGTATTTCTTCGGAGAATTCTTCTTCTCACTTTTTCCTGGGAAGACACGTTTTCCTCCTCAAAAAGTGGCCTTTTGGAATTTTTTTTCCATGAAGAAACTTTTTCTCCATCGCCACCTAAATCGTTGGAAACGTTTTCCATTGAAGAAACGTTATCTTTATTAACACATTATTCTGGGGAATTTTTTCCATTTGTAGAAACGTTTTCTTCATGAACATGTTGTTCTGGGGAATATTTCCCTTTTGAGGAAACGTTTTCTTCATGAACACTTTGTTCTTGGGAGTCGTTTCCCTGTGAAGATACTTTCTCTTTACGAACTCGTTAATACTACGCTAAAATACAGCTCAAGCATTTGCTAACCCGAATGGCATTCGTGTATACTCATAATGCCCATCCGCCTTAATGAATACTGTTTTTTCTCTAAACTCTGCAGCCACTGGTATTTGGTGGTAGCCTGATGTCATATCAAGTGATGTAAAGTGCTTGCTTCCTCCTGAACGATCATCTATTCTTGGTAACGTAAAAAACTGGCAACTCCCAAAAACTGCCCCACATCATGGACATTTTTAGGAACTAGAAACTTCTTTACTGCAGTTATTTTCGTTTTTCCTGGTCTAACATCCTCTGCCGATATCTCATGTCCCAAATAATCAATGGTTTGTCGAAAAAAATAACATTTAGTCATGCGTAGGGTAACGCTCTGTATCCGTCGTCAAAGTCAACTGTGGGAATCAAAATGTCATCCATGTAGGCCAGTGCTGTATTAAATCTTATTGATCCAAGAACTAGGTTTATACTTCGCTGAAATACAGCTGGAGCATTTGCTAATCCGAATGGCAATCGTGTAAACTCATAATGCCCCATCCGGCGTAATGAATACTGTTTTTTCTCTAAACTCTGCAGCCATTGGTATTTGGTGGTAGCCTGATGCCATATCAAGTGATGTAAAGTGCTTGCTTCCTCCTAAACGATCATCTATTCTTGGTAGCGTAAATAACTGGCAACTCCCAAAAACTGCCCCACATCATGGACATTTTTAGGAACTAGAAACTTCTTTACTGCAGTTATTTTCGTTTTTCCTGGTCTAACACCTTCTGCCGATATCTCATGTCCCAAATAATCAATGGTTTGTCGAAAAAAATAACATTTAGTCATGCGTAGGGTAACGGTCTGTATCCGTCGTCAAAGTCAACTGTCGGAATCAAAATGTCATCCATGTAGGCCAGTGCTGTATTAAATCTTATTGATCTAAGAACTAGGTTTATACTTCGCTGAAATACAGCTGGAGCATTTGCTAATCCGAATGGTATTCGTGTATAATCATAATGCCCATCAGACATAATGAATGCTGTTTTTTCTCTAAACTCTGCAGCCATTGGTATTTGGTGGTAACCTGATACCATATCAAGTAACGTAAAGTGCTTGCTTCCTCTTAAACGTTCATCTATTCTTGGTAGAATTGTCGTTGCTTTCCACGTCGACCGACTGACTGACTGATGACAGTTCTCTGATACGGAAGCAGCGTAAACAGCTGACTCCAGTGGCGAAGCAAGTCGTTACGTCTTACACAATGGTGACTCCTTTTTCATCTTCAGACCCATTTCTACTGATTCTTTTGCCAACTGACTAGTCTTCAACTTAAGCTCTTCTAAACTATTGGAAATGAATATTTACGATATTGTCAGCGAACCGTGAATGATTCAATCAATTTTAAGCCATGTCTACTCGCTTAAATATATCCTTCAGATCAGGGAGTAATTTAAGCTGACCTTTACTTGAATATTCCAAAGTCTGTGCTAATTTCTACGATCCAATAAAGAACAAAAAATCAAATGTGCTAATTGGAGCCTATAGACGCAAAAACCTCATAAAGCCTTAGAGTCCCAAAGTAACACTGTCCCCTAAACTAAATTGGTTTTTATATACGTATAAGCCACTAAAGTTAGTTAACCCTAAAACTAAATTCCGTGAAACGGATAGGGGACAAAAAGTGTTTATGTTGTACTAAAGGGTTAGGGCAGGCAAAATGAGCACTAAAAGTAAAAGATTTCTAACTGTCATTTTATATGCAGTATTCACAGAGCGAAGGCCCCTTTAATTTAAAATTTAACTTACCCAATCTTCGAGCAAAAGCCAGAGAATTTTATATATGTGTAGCGGCAGCACAAACGGCAACTAGATTGTGGCATTAACTATTTAACAGACTGTGATTTTTCTAGCTTTAAAGTTAAGTGTACACACAACTTTGAGTTTTTGGCAAACATCCCACATACAGGGATTTGTTTAGAGTGAAAAATTTCCATTCGCGTTTAATATATTTTAATAAATAAATACAATTTTGAAATTTAATAATACTTCTTGAATTTATTATTAGTCGTGCTCGGCAATTAGTTCAAATAAACGCCGTTGTCAGCAAAAAACAGTTTTTCATATTAAATAGAGAAAATCAATAATGGCTCAACATTTAACTTTATTATCGAAATTGAAAAATAACCGTCAATTCGTTTAAATCGCTTGAAAAATTGGGAAAACGCGAGAGGCACTAGTCTGATCATTTTTTATTTTTTTTTTTGTGTCGGGATGATTTATTATTCAGATTAATGAAGGCAACTAATTTTTCAAATTTGTTTTTGATAGAGTGATCCCGAAATTTGATACCTATCTAATAACTTCGAATAATCAAGTGGGAGCTGAACTTGATGAATCTAGCAAACTTGCTCTCTTTGATAAAGCATATTTTAATTATTCCATGCAAGATTCATGATAATATAATATACTCCTAAGTCTAAATATAATCCTGTTCTATAATTGAAGAACATTCGGGTCATTTCCAACGTTAACGTTATCAAAACCGGACTTGCATGATTTAGTTTGGTTTATGCTTTGCTAACTGGCCATAAATTGCCACCGCTTCCATGTTAGAGCCCTAAATACTGTTTACCATTACTCTGCTCTAATGTACATTTTGTTATTAACTCACTAGTGTATAAGTCGTAATCTTACCATTAAACCTAAAGCTCAAGCTGTAAACGTTTTACACCTTGTTGGAATATAAATTTGATGTTTGGTTTTTATTTATATAAAGATTTCGTAGTCTCGTTTACATTATTTAAAGGATGACCGAAAGAAAAAATCCCCAACAAAATCCGGACTATAAATTTCGTCCTGAAACGGCTTCGCTATATAGCAAAACGAGAAAACAAAGTGGGCTGCGCCTCCCAAATTGTCACATCATCTCGTGGATTCCTTTTCGGATTTGCACGGAAGCGCGATCCTGGAAAATAGCGTTAAAGTCCACCCGCCCTTTTTCCTAAACTGATGTATTCAGATGTGTGTGGGATATTCTCCAAAACAACTCTGATTTTTCTATAATTATGAATACAAGGTTTATATTTGTTTTCCCTTTCCAGTGATTTGGTGGATGTCGTAGCCATCAGAGTTGGAACATTTGATTAAAATCAAATTTTGATATGCAGTGTGTTTGAGTCAAATTACTTATCTTTTCTATTAGAATCTTCTAATACCTGTTCAAGTTGAAATATGGGCGAATTGTTATTCAACAAAAAAAAAAAAAACTAACAATCCTCTTGATCTCTTTTCGAAGAATCCCTCTATTATCAGAATCTCAATTTGAAAATAAAAGGCTCAACCGTCGTTCGATGATTGTCATTGGGTAGCTTTTGGGAGATTTCGTTTTATTTGAATTTTCGATCCCCTGTTGATCCGCGCGTGTTTCGTTCTACTTTACCAGACAAAAATCGGTGTTTAATGCACAACTAAATCCCTGCTTAAGCTTTCTAAGCCTATTAAAATATCTTCAAACCTTTTAAGCAGGAAACTTTTCATCTAGCAGATTTTTCAAAACTTATATTTTAAGACGTGAAACAACAAAAAGAGCTCCAATATTAGAGGCATCATAACAATCTTTGCTAATGAGAATTTATGGAGTGTTTTAAAAACTTTTGTCGCAGTTAATTAGAGCTGCAGTCAGAAAGCTGATAGCACGATGAGGGTTCTTTTTAAAAATTAATGTTGATACTCGTGTAATGGAGTAAAGTAACTGATAATATTTTTATAGAAATCTGATTCCAGACCTGCTTTTGCAGTTTTACACTGTAGTCGCCATGATTAGGGAGGTTTTACATAATCTCAATTTATAAAGCTGCGAAATACGAAATGTGCAGTTTCAGCTCTTATGAAATAAAGAAATTTTTAAATCCCCCCAATCTAACAGAATTTTCGAACTAGCGGAACGAGTCTTGCTTTGGGAACGGATTCACCAAACAAGGAAGTACCTAGCAGCTATGGACAATGATTTTCTATCGATAAACCAAAAGTTATCCAACAGCATTGGAGTGACTGGGACAAAATTGACCGAATGACGTATGTCGTGATGGAAGCCACACTAGCAAAAACAACCAAGAAACTGGTAAATAAGTTTAAGTCCTTGAATCCAGTAAACACTGCGATAATCTCAGATTTGTCAACCTGACCCAGCGCGTTCTGACTGTTCGGAAACCAGTGTTCTAAGATAAACAGGCAATATGGCAATAACGCAAAAATACCTACCATTCGAAGACATCATACCAAATGTGGAAGCCAGCATACGCACATTACCTCAAACCACTGCGAAGAAAATACGCAATGACACATCTAGGATTCTACGACTAGCGAAACCTCCAAAGTGCAATCCGACATACAAGGAAAGAAAGCTATGATGAATGTGACTGACTATGAATCAAAAATTTCCGAACTGCTAGACCCCTCCACCTTCAGAAAGCTGAAGCACAATCTCACTGCTTCTATATTGCGAAAAACAAATCAACTCGTCCGAGCACTATCGTTGGACCCGGAAAACATCACCACTCTCCTTCAGCCACGGATTGGTCAATCCAGCTCTTATGTTGAAGACTCCACTCATTTTATCAAAAAGATCAGTGACATCACTCTACTACCAAACGACATTGTGGTTAGTTTTGATGTCGTCTCGCTGTTTACCAAGGTACCAGTGAAGCAGGCTTTAGGGTATCTTAAAGATGTTTTTCCGGAGAAAATCGACAACATATTTCACCATTATCTGACGACTTCGTACTTCCAATGGCAAAATGAATTCTTTAAGCAGACAGATGGAGTTGCAATGAGGAGTCCACTTAGCCAGTTATCGCCAACTTCTTTCAATGTAGAAGTTGGCGATAACTGGGCTGAACAAATGGTACTGCGAACGTCCACAAAATAACCTACTTGTTGATTTCGCTATGTAGATGACACTTTTGTTGTTTGGAACCATGAACAGGCAGAGCTCGAAAACCTCTTTAACCATCTAAACTCACTGGAACCAAGGATACAATACACGATGAAAGTTGAGAAGCACAACGAAATTGCATTTCTCGACATCCTCTTAGAAAGATTACCCTCAGGTAAACTGGAACACAGAGTATATAGGAAGCCGACGCATATGGACAGATACCTCAACAAAGAATCCAATCACCATCCTAAGTAAAAGAGAGGAATCATTAAAACTCTATCTGATAGGGCAATTCGGATTTGTGGACCCAGTTACCTTCAGGACGAGATGCAACACCTAAAATCAGCACTTGGGTACTCCAAGCAGGAGATAAATAAAGACGAAATCAACAGCGCACAAATAATAAGGAACCAGTACAGGTGGCAGGGAGAGCCTTTCTTCCCTACAACAAAAATGTCACAGATCCCATAGGATGAACGCTAGAAAAACACAACATCAAGCCCACCAGAACAATTCAGCAAAGCCTAAGATCGGTTAAGGATCCTAGAGCACCTATTGAAACGGCTGGTGTCTATAGAATTCCCTGCTCTTGTAGATCTGTCTATGTAGGAACAACCAAACGCTCTATCAACACCAGGGTCAAAGAGCCCAGAAGAAACTGTCAGCAGGGACAAATAGATGAATCAGCAATCGCCGAACACAAACAAACCATGTCATCCGTTTTGACATTGGATAGAACCGAACAATTTTACACCAGACTCTACAGAGAAACCATACAGATACAGAAACACCATAACAGCTTCAACAGAAAAGAAGAGGCATGAACCTTAACAAAAGCTGGTTGCCAGTTCTCCGGAAAACAAAGACCCTTCCTTTCCGAGAACGAGACAAGGAAAATTGCATAATACATGCGACGCCCACAATCCTAGATATAAATAACGCAGGTCCAACAACGTCGAATTCAGTCATCGGAGGAACACGGAATAGAACATTTCGTCCTCCGTGACCGGCCTGAAAGCCTTCATTCTTCAAAGAAAGAATACATTTTTTTTTAAATATATTACTTCCAAATCATCACATTCCTTCCACCAAAAAACTCATGTTAATCAATCAAAAACTGTCATTTAATATTCTTCGTCTTTCGTTCTGCAGATTTGCTATGAAACTGTCGAAATCCTCTTCCTCGATCATTTCAGTTTCGTCCAGAACGGCCGCCAGATTTTGCCATAACCGATTCCTAGGAACGTCCCAATCATTATTTCTCGGAGCCGTGGTTCCGTTCAATTCTTCAGCATCATAGACGCTGATATTACTAGGACTTTCCGCTAACATTGAAATGTCTTGCATTTGCGACTCGTTCAAAATTCCCAAAGAACTATCGTCATAATGGGAATCATGCAAAATCCCTAAAGAACTATCCTCGTAATAGTCGTGTGCAATCCCCCCTAATGAATCATCTTCGTATTGGGAATCGTGCAAAATACCTAAAGAGTCGTCATCGCAAGGGCATTCGAAGGAATCTTGCATTTGCGAAGCATTTAATATGCCCAAAGAACTATCGCCGGTTTCTTGTCCAATACCGGAAGCCTCTTGGAAGTCCTCCATAGACACTGCACTAGCCTCATTCCAAACTTCACCTTCTCCAACCTCTTCCATAACACTGTCTGCTAAATTTTCTGCCCGAGGTATAAACGAACTTTGTGCTGTAGGTCTTGGAATACTTGTAGAACCCCGATGGGGAATTTTTTTGGGTCTCCATACTTTGGGTTTTCTGGGTATGCCTGTTGGAGGACGTGCCTTTTGCGGTCCTGGAACCGTGGGTCTTCTTGGTATGTTGGAACCGCCCGCTCTTGAAGGATATTGAATATTGCAGCTCATTTTGATAGTTCACTAGAATTTTGAATTGGAATAATTCCGTGTTTTGTTAGCGAAATGTTATTATGACAGCTGATTTTGTGTATCAGGTGCAAAAATAGGTAATTCAAGGTGTTCAGTCTTCAAGTCAAATCTTGGTTATTCCAGGATCTTGATGGGCATGTTTACTTTGAGGTTTGACCATCATCATCTAAATTCATTTGAATATTTCACTTCTGTATATAATGCAGGATTCCAAAAGAAAAATATGGATGATTATGTGTGGATAATGTAGTTTTATCACTACCTCGTTATTGGAAGCTTGTTACAAATAATAATGGAAATTTGTGACTTTAAGATACGATAACCTAAGGTCGTGAATTCAAAGAAAAATTAAGATAACGTGTAGCCCCTTTGTGTGCATATGAAACCACTTAACATCCAACAAATAATAATTTTATTTTATGTACAATGGTATGTAAAATGTTTCAGTGCTAACAGCTTGGTTTTTCTTGGTGAATCTGATACCAAGTACCTGCTTTCCAATCCAGAGCTCTTCAATGGGCGTTGGAGTTTCAGTTTCGTGAACTGGAGCTCTTCGTGTTGTTTCCTGTTTCCAGGAAGAGGGTAGATTGCTGGGGTGACGTCACTCCAGCTGATCCAAACAATGATCTTTATGTAGTACCCAGAAAAGAATAAGGCAGCATCAGGTTCACCAATATTTGGAACATTAAATTCCTGAATTCTGTCAAAAAGTGAGTGTCTCGCAAAGAAAATTTAAATTGAAATTTAATACAAAATGATTGTTGTACAGACACTACCTTCAAACAGAATCAGGTATGAACAGTTATTGCAAATTGAAAAAATTGTATATTTTAATATAAAAAAAAATTATTAAATAATTAAGATTAATGGTAAGATAATAAAAAAAATAGAATAATAACAAAATTAAATTAAAATGCTCGTTATAATTGAGCAAAATGCTGCTTTCTTGATAGCAGTTCTGACAGGCAAAAATCCGAGCAAAAATAAGGTAGGTAAAAAAAATATAAGAAATGAAATCTCTGGATTCCTCCCCAAGTGGACGAAATTCTACCCTCGAATTAAGGTAGCTACCACAGATACTAGATAAACCTGGGGTTGAAATTAATCAAATCCAGAATGTGTCAATATTCTTGAGATGTTTTAATTAAAACTTTTTAAGTGAATTTTTGACCTGTCTGGATTTCTAATAAAAAATTACACCCTTTAGTTAAGATAATAATTGAGGGAGTCAAGCAGAAAATGGCTGTTCAGGCCTCTGCCTGGATTCAATAAAGAATTAATGGGGATGGACTCACAAATTTGGTTCTCACCGACTCTATTTAGAGCAAATGGTCCAATTTTCCCACACTAAAAATTGATTCTGAAAGCCAGAGCAACAGTACCTATCTAAAACCCAAAAATCTGTCTTGACTTACCTCTTAAAACGTGGCACTAAACAATAAGCAATTCACACAAAATGGAAGCCAACAGTTAGATAAAAAAACTTAAAATATAATATTTATATTTCAAAAACAGATACGATAAGATTTATCAGGTAAAAACTTAATAAAGATATGACAATTTGAATATTAAAATATTTATAAAGGATCCAGAAATTCACAGCACAAAATTATTTAAATATAAAGAGGACTTGCCAGGCCAGAGTGTTGTCCAAGAAGAGATCGTTTTAGAAAACCAAGCCAGCAGGAAAACGATCCTGTGTTTTTTTATACTTAACTGCATTCCAACCAGCTTCAACCAATCAGACGAGTACACCCAAAAGACCATATTCACTTCAAAATGAAAACACAACAAGAAAATAGATAAAGATCCACTAAAATTATTTTAATTGTTTACAAATTATAATAATTTAAATTAAGGTTATGTCAAAAATAAAAGACTGCTAATTGATTAGATCATTAAGCCAAAAAATGATTATTTCAGAATCAGAAGTTAGAAAAGGACAGAAATATATCCATTTGCTAAAAGTGAGATAAATATAATTTCTTTCAATGAAAATACAAATGACTGTCAAATGCGAATTTTAAAAATTATACTTTGAAATATAGATCATCGGGCACTAGATGGGAGTACTGAAAAATCAATTCTCGATACTTGCATTTTACGCCAATATGGATAGATGGCAGCACTTGTATTATTTGAATTTTAATTTTGTGGATATTTTTAGAATATTAGAAATTATTTTGAATTCTGAAATCAAAAAAAATACAACTTTATAAAGAAATAAGGAGAGAAGGAACATGTTACGTAAATGATAAATTTATCGTAACAAGCTCGAAGTGGTTGAAGCTGTTTCTACTTGGCTGTAACACAAAAATAGATTCTGTAGAAGAGATAATTGCTTCTCTCCATCATAAGAATTTGTAGGGAAGGTTTGATACTAGTCAATTTTCAATGGAATATTCTTGCAGACTTATTTTATGGGTCTCATCAAATTTGGGGAGATTGAGGCTTTCTAAGAACATAGTGGAACTAGGGAATATTCCGAAAAATTAGCGCAGTCGTGGTGCCAAGGAACAAAACAAATAGGCACTCCACGATTGTAATTTCCATGATATTGTCACAACCGCCTGTTTTATTGAGGTTAATGGAGAGAAACTCGCTCAAGTAATATGAAAAGTAGACAGAAATATATATGCCAAAATATGCTACTTACAAATATTTTAATCTTATAGAATGCATGATCTTTCTAACGTTAGGGTCTTTATAGGGGGCCACACGTCAACGCTGCTTGAGGAACTGTTGGTTTATTAGCCACACAACTGTAGCTAGTGACCCTTATGCCCTTTATCAAGAGGAGTTTTCCTAACTAGAGATACCGGCGCTGGTCAAAGATAAGGCTGAAGATACCCAGAGTAGCTTTCTCAACTGCAGGTTCAGACACTTGAACCCAGAAGAGCTTTTCCGGTACCAGTCTCTCCTTACCCGCATACCTTAATTGAGAGTGATGTGAAAGTGAGACTGACTAAAATATTTCTATTATACACCCAAACGAATGTATTTTGCCAAATATTGGTATAGTATAAAGGCAAAGTAAATTTCCTACTAGTAGTATAGTATAGAGGATTCTGGAACATATTTGGTTAGAATTACGCTCAAAAGAAGATAAATTGCTTGAAAGCATTCCTCCTCCCTCTCACATTTTTATCAAATTTCGATTCCCCTCCGAAACTAATGCGATCGTTTCGCAACGATATTTTTCGATTTCATGTGTAATCGCTTAACACACAAGAGAAGTGGCTGATAGAGATAAGCTTTCAACATTATGGGCACATCTTGTGGGTTCAAATAAAGCGCTGTAGCAGCAAACATAATACCGGAACGTTATCAAGTGAAACGTAATTTCAAATCGAGTTGTGACTTGTCCGAATTGAAAGTTATAAAAAGGGATATTTTAAAATCTGACACCGGCTAAATGAACCGGAACTTATAAAATTGGTCACGCCATGTTCTTTTATTCGACGGCGCCGTTGGAACTAACGCTCCCCTGCGAGTTGCACTTACGTCTTATTTATATCCCTTTTAGCGCTTATTCTTCCTTTACTCCTCTTTATTCCGGACAATTTAATTTGCCCTAGTTGGTACGTAGAGAGCACGGACATATTGAAACTTTACTTGTATTGGAACACAAATTGATTTCTATTCGACGCTAGTTGCCCGGATGAATTTTTGTCACTGACGAAAACAAAGTTCCGAGCAAACTTTAACTTTCCAGACCGGGGATTTCAACTTCATGAAGGGCATAAGCGGAATGACAGGAAAAGCCCTCTGGCATCGCTTGCCTTCCAATGAATTTTTCATGACGATGTCTAAAGGCAAGACGCGTATTGCTTTTCGAGTTGTCACACAGAGTAAGCATGATGTTTAAAAATTGTTGTTCAAATTATGCTAAAAGCCATCCAATTTCCAAGAATACTGTTGTCAAACTCGAATCCATTTTTTGCCAAAAAAAATTAAATGTGAAAAATATCGTGGGGGGTGAAATAGTAAGTTTCTACCCATTTGTCATCCAAAAGGGACTAATGCATTTCTGGATTTTTAGAAGGAAGAATGTGTGCTGAGAGCTTTATAACAAGACATATTCCTACAAAAGAAAATATATATTCGGTAAAAGGTCTATTTCCAAGGCAAAATAAAGCCCAATATTTCATATACCAAAACCCAACCTCGTAGCTGCTACACTTCTGTACCTTTTGCCACTTTGCATTTTTATTATTCTTTCGGTGCGTTCACAGGTTGATATTTTCATACTTTCGCGTTTTCCCTCTAGCGGCAATCGCCCACTTTTCGAGGTATTTGTCGGTCTTTGAGGTTGTCGAGCGAGGAGAGCACTTGTCGTTTTAAAAAGCTTTAAATTCCAAGCAAAAATGCTAAAACCTTTCGTCAAGTAGGTACGTTCGTGAAAACGATAATGTTTATCTTATTTTTAATTATGTATGCAAATAAAGTTCTCGGTGACCTTATTATCATTTCATAACGTACAAACCGAGGAACATGCATCAGATACTCTCGTGAGAATTAACATTGGCGAACGCAAATGAGGCTGCCACGTATGGCAAAACCGGAGTCCTCTATATTTCCCAGACCGTAATGGCCACCTTATTTGCATTTAATAATTCAAAGTGACACATTCGGTGTAATAGAGGAGAATAGGGTCCGATACATACGTGTCTCTGATTTTGAATGGGTCAAGCAAATTTTCTTTGGCATGAATTCACACACCTGGTATTTGTACAGTGATGATTAGATCGTTCGAATATAAGGGAGCAAATTATTGTTGATGAATTTGCATAATTATCCGAAGGTTATTTGATAGAAGAGAAAACTTCACGAGAACTGAAAATAATTCTCTGAATCATCCCTCTAAGGGCCAGTTTCTTAATAGCGAGTCACCTCCGGGTTAATTTTAACTCCAGGGTAAGCGTGTCGAGTTGCTATGTTTACCTCAGAATTATGCTTAACCCGGGGGTGACTCGCTA